AGAAGCTTACTGAACCAGAAGCTGAGCACAGCACTGCAAATTCACAGATGACTGCACTTGTGAAAACCTTGCAGAACACAAAAACAATTGTCAACCATGAAGACACGCTTGAGGTATGGCATTGTGATAACATCATAGCAGTCAAAGAATTGTGCTGGTTTTGTATCGAATACTCTGGGAGATGAAAATTTATGTTGACAATAGCAGAAAATTGCCCTCTGTAAGTGCTGTAGATACAGGTGGATTGCAATGCAGTATTTTTTCACTTCGGATTGTTAAGTAGAAGTTGAAATAGCTAATAAAAAGTTCATAATGAAAGACACCTGCATTTAAAGAAGAATAAAGCAAACTCTATTAGAATTTTGCCCAAGTACTGAACTGTGAAAAGACTCATACTTTGATTTTACAGAATTTTCAAGGGTTTGCTTGATTATCAGTTCTTCTAAAATAATTTATTTTAATTGTCACTGAAATGAAAAAATATCTGATTAGTGGGAGCAATCAAAACTAAATGAATATGCACGTTCATTTCAAATGAAAAGTGAAAGGTGGGTTTAAAAATATATATTCCTCTATGTTCATTAGTGAACTGTCATGACATATTGATACATGTCAATACGTATCAATATTGATAAATAAACCTATTTACCTCTGATGAAGAGTCATTTAATCTTTAAAATGAAGATTTGTGCATCTCTCTCACAAACACTGTGTATTCATTTATTTAGAGTATTTCAGTTATGACAGATTTTGGAACTTGTTACTTAAATCAGTTGCCAGTCACAACCTGTAGAAGATTTCTTTCAGTTTCGCAAGCAGTTTATTTTTGCTTGTGTTGTGTAAGCAGTGGAACATGCGTATGTCAGACTTGTGCTGAAGAGACTGCACGACAAGCAGTTGTTGCTGAGTATTTCCCCAGTAGCATGTTCCTACTTCTACATACATTCTGAAAATACTGGTTTTGACTTTTTTCTTAAGTTTTGAAGCATAATTTCAGAAAATCATATTAGTTATCTAACATTAGTGAAAGCAGTTCTTTGTAGCTGGCTGTATGCCAGTAAGTAAATGAGGCAGCAGTGTGTATAGTTCATCAGGGATACTGAATTCCTTACTTCTGTGTAATAACCACCTGGTAACTCTGTTGCTGTTGAATCCAGATATTTAAACTTCGCATGTGTTTAAGTTCTTAATTTCAATACTGATTACACATGTATGTCACATCCAAAAGGATGTGGTAGGGGCAGTGAAGAGGTTGTCTGTTCCAATTGCAGAGAAAAACAGGTGGATTTTTACATTTTCATTTTCAATGAAGACTGTCACAGCTTGTTTGCTATATCTCATTCAGGTTTGCCCTCCCTGCAGTCCAAAGAACTGGCCATGTAGTTATGTTATGGGAAGAAAGGTGCTGCGTTAGGTTCCACACATTAAATGTTCTGAAACTTGTAAGAACTTGACAGGCTATTTTTGCAATCTGTGACATGGATTCTAAAACATTTGTAATGAGAAGCATGTTTATTAGAAAGAAATTTCCACTCTAGGGAAGGAAGGGTGTTTTTCCTTCAAAATATTACTGGAAAAGGTTTTTTTTAAAGATGATAAGAATACAGGACTGGCAGTAGGGTACTGAATCAGTTATACGGCTGCTCTTGCAGTAGCTTTGTTAAGTTAATCTCTTTCGTAAGTGCTCTGAGCTCTATTTTATGGTTGGGAACTAGTGATTTCTAGCTTCAATGTATTCAGCATTGCTTTATTCCTCTGCCATTGTTCTTGAAGTTAAATAACATCTCTTCCTTTTGGAATTCACTCCAATGTAAATTTCAAGACATAAACCCAAGCTACACTTACTCTTGGCAAGCCAAGCTCATTCAGTCTTTTCTCACAGCATACTTTTTCATTCTTAAGAGTGTCTTGCTCATGCTACTCTATAGCTCCTTCAGTTTGAGCTCTTTTCTGGAAAACCAGTACCTAGCTGCTTCCTTGATAGCTTTCTGACTTGAACTCAACTGGAGGTTCTCTTCATTGGTGGAACAGAGGCTGCATCTGCTTGCTCCAAATAGGTTTTTGCAGCTGAAGTTACCGATTTGAGTGTCGTTCTCATGGATTTCATCAGCAGCAATGCAAGTCTTCATGTGCCACTTCTTAAAGATAATTCAGTGGCAAATATTACTAAATTCAGTTGGCTTGCACTCCAAATACACTACCCAGTTGTTATGTTATGCCTGTGTTATGTTGCTTGTTTATTTTTCAACGTTCGTTGTTCAGCGGATGACAGTTCAGGTAGTGTTCACTTAACCTTTAAGCAGTTCTCTAAAATGCACAGAATAAAGCTGTTTTTCCTTTAGCAGGAGTCAGAAGAGCTATCCTCTGATGAAGAGATGAAAATGGCAGAAATGCGACCACCACTGATAGAAACCTCCATAAACCAACCAAAAGTAGTAGCTCTTGGCAATAACAAAAAAGGTTAGATACCATAAAAAGGAATGGAAGTGTTGTGTAATTCTGATAATTACTTGACTCAAAATGGCTAGATTTTTCAATTAAATTATGTAAAATCGGATTTGATTTGTATGTTTTAAAAGAAAGATGATAAATATCTTATACATGAGTGTGTCATGAGAAAGTTTTGTTGACATCCTAATTTTCTTGATTCTTGTCATTAGTTTAAAAACAGAGGGGGAGAAGAGATGGTGTGTTTTGGGATTGTTAGCTTGAATATGCTCTTTATATGCTTAAGGACTTCAGAAAGTGGTATTTACCTTGGAAATATTCCATATTTTTCCCTCCCTCACATACTGTGGATTATTGCTGCTTTAGGCAGCAATATCGCTTGTTTAAATTTCTCAGAGAAGCTGTGGTCTCTTCCTGAGGTTTAAGAAACTTCTGTTGTGGCAACTCCAGAGTCACTTCAGTCTTTCTTCTTTCCTCTAACAGGGAAAGAACATAGAATATTTCAGAACATTATTTTTGTTACCTAAATTCTATATTCTCTGAAAGATAATTCCGGTCTGAGTAACCATTTCCTTATGAATAAGGAATTACCTAGGAGTCAGATAAAACACAATTTAAAGTTGGAGAACAAACTGTTTTGCTTCGTGTGATATCTTAGTCCAGTACTTCCCAGGACAAAAGGTTTTTCTTGCTATTAGGTGTAGAAGGGTAAGATTTAGTGTGAATGAAAGAAAACCACACAGAGGTAGCAGGAACAGTCTGCTAAGGATAACATGCAGATGAAAAGATTGATGTTTATCAATGCTGTCTTTGGGTTTTTATGCCTGACTGAAGTACGAAGTCAAAACTTCTTTCTTGCTTTTGGAGGTAGACATTAGTTTCACAAATTATGCTTTTGGCACCTGTAACTGTCTTAAAGCAAAAATTTGAATGTATTTGTACACCTGTATGAAAATAACGGCTGGCTTGAAGTGCCACAGAGAAATTAACTTTTGTATGGCTGTAGTACGTAATGCATACATTATGTGAGAATCAATGTGCACAGGTGTAAATTACTCTGAAAATGTTGCCCTAAGTGATCCACAAAACTCACTTAGGATGCACTGAATTCCAACTCTGCAGAACAACATTTTACTTACCTGTTTTTTTGAATTTATGAAGCTATACAGAGCTTATCCAGTGATCTAGGTCTTTTCAGAGTTCTTAGTCTAATAAACAGCTATTTAACAATGATTTGTCAAAATTAGGAACTCTGCATATTTTCAAAATCCTGCAAATGAAGCAGTCAGTTTCATTGGGACTAATAGACTCATGTAATTCAAAATTTGGAATCATTGCAAAAACAAAAATAGGACTTTAAAATTATTTGGGGGAAATATTACATAATGTAGCACTAGTTTATGCCAAAGAAACTTGGACTAAAGCAACAAGTTAAATTTAATTAACAGGTGAGGGCTGTTTATGTTGAGCCAAATATTTTAAAAAACCAGGAACTATTGCCAACAGTCTTTCATAAGTTTAAATGACATTTTCAAAGGAGTTATCTTACATTTTAGTTTCCAGTAGTGATAATTAATGAAGAACAAGAGACAATTTCTAGATTCTGTAACATGCACAAATTAAATCGTTATTAAACAGATGTATGTGTCTGTAAGTAAATTGGCAAATTTTTATTTCAGATGATTCAAAAGATGCTGATTCCTTATCAGATGAAGCTACCCACAATAGCAATCAGAATAACAGCAACTGTTCCTCTCCTTCTCGAATGTCTGATTCTGTTTCCTTAAATACTGATAGTAGCCAAGATATTTCTCTCTGTTCTCCAGACAAAGAAACACATGCTGCTGTTTTATCCAAGATCAGGTTTGTAAGATACTGTATACCACTGAGCAAATGTAATAGAAAAATGTTACTTAATCTTTCATACTATTTGTCCATTCTTTTAATTCATTAATTTATCATTCATTAAATAATTAAAATTTTAATGTTTTAAAATAAGGTTAAATAAAAGAATAATTCTTGGGATTGGTGTTTTTTTGTTTTGGTTTGGGGTTTTTTTTTGTTTGTTTTGAATTTTTTTCTGGGGTTTTTTGTTTTGTTTCGGGGTTTTTTGTGGTTTTGATTTTGTTTTGGTTTGGGGTTTTTTTTTGTTTGTTTTGAATTTTTTTCTGGGGTTTTTTGTTTTGTTTCGGGGTTTTTTGTGGTTTTGATTTTGTTTTGGTTTGGTTTTTTGGTGGTTTTTTTTTTTTTTATGAGAAAAGGACAAGGAATGGTAAAAATCAGAGGCTCATTTTAGTATACAAGGCATGATTCCCATCTGTTTTACTAGTAAGGTATAATCATTTCATACTTATAATTCATTATCCCTGCAAGACGCTTCAATACACCATTTTAAAAGCTCTATGTTTTTATTTGCATAATTTTGAAGATCAATTTGATTACTGACGTAACTATAAAATGCTTTTCAAAACTATAGAGAATGGACTTGCAGGTTGGTACTCTTCTTGAAGTTTTATTTAGAAGGTGCCATTTTTTTAAAAAATTTCAATACATACAAACAATTTCTCCAAAATATCCACATCGTCATGGAACTTGTAAGTATTTGATAAAAAAAAAAAATTTTTCACTTTGTACTCTTGACAATTTCATACTGTCTTTAATAATTCCTGTTGATTTTAAACAAACTTCTGAAATTAGATGACAAAAACATTTCCAAAGTGAGCCCTCTGTATAATGTATTTCTCTAGTGGTAAGATAGCAAATCTTAAATCAGGTTGTATATTGGTCTTTGTCCTCTTTTGTATGTACAGTATGGCTGTGTTGCATGCTGTTGATTATTTTTTCAAAAACAGTTCTTAAAGAAATATATTGGGGTTTTCTGAGTTTCTTTTAAAAGCCATCCTTTTTTCCAGGCGAGAAGATGAAAATTTGAATAACCTTTTACAAAATGGAGGTGAATTGAGGATTACTGTAGAAGAAAAAATAAATGTGCAAGAGAAGGTTACAAATTTGTCTGAATATGAATTAAGCATTGAAGAAAGATTAGGCCTGATAGGAAAAGGTGTTGATCTGAGCACTCCTACGGAGGAGTCTCACAAATTAGACCAAATAAACATGAATATCAGTAAACTGGTTAGTGAAGAGGCAGTGCCAGTTCCTGTAGAAAGGTTGCAAACACAGGAAGTTGGTTCAGGAAAGGGCTTTTTGAATAACAATGCAAAAGAAGAAAGTGAGCACTTGGAAAATGAAAATAAGTATCCTATAAATAAAGTAAATGGACATCCTGAGGAAACAGTACAGTCTCCCAGTAAAGACAAACTAACAAGAAGCACTACAGTTGATGGCGATTCTGCTGAGCTGTCTGTTTCAAGGAGCACTGAAGATTTGTCCCCACAGAGAAGTGGTCCTGTGATGAAATCTCATAGCATCACCAGTATGGACACTGGTGGTATGAAAATATACAATATTGTCAATGAGGATGGATCGCAACAGCCAAACGCAGTGGTAAAATCAGCATCTGATAGTGCAGATGGAAAAAACATAGTCCGAAGTAAATCCGCTACTCTTCTGTATGATCAGCCTTTGCAGGTTTTTCCTGGGTCGTCATCATCATCTGATTTAGTATCTTCTACAAAAACTGTGTTCAAGTTTGACTCAAATCACAATCCTGAAGGTGCTAATGTAGTGAGAGGATCAGTGACAAGTGGTGCACAGATGTCCTGTGCTCCCCAGTATAATATTCAATACAGCAGCAGTGCAACAGCGAAAGACACCTTGTGGCCCCAGAAACAAAACGCTCAAGTAGAACAAGGCAGCTTACCTTCTTCACGTCTCCTTAGGTCTGACAGTACAGAAACCCCTAACTATGTTAAGCATTCTGCCAACATGAATTTCTCAAATCATAACAATGTCCGAGCCAGCACTGTGTATAATACTCATCAACGGATGGCTGGGAGACACATAGATATGTGGGCTATTCCACCAAATGATAGACTGCTCCCAGGAGCAACCAGGCACACTCTTCAAAGGCAAAGCAGTGTGTCTTCTACAGCTTCTATAAATGTTGGGGATATTGTACCTTCAAGGCGGCCACAGGTTCCTGAAGGGGACTATTTAACATACAGAGATTTGCATTCAATGGGAAGAGCTCCACCATTAATGTCTGGGCAACAGAGACCTCTTTCTGCTAGGACATACAGCATTGATGGTCCAAATGTACCCCGACCACAGAGTGCTAGGCCATCAGTGAATGAAATACCAGAAAGAACTATGTCAGTTAGTGACTTCAGTTACTCACGGACTAGCCCATCAAAGAGATCAAACCCAAGGGTTAACTCGGAGCACTCTTTATTAGATCCTCCAGGAAAAAGTAAAGTCCCTCATGACTGGAGGGAACAGGTGCTGCGACATATTGAGGCTAAAAAGCTAGAAAAGGTAAGAATAATTTTAAAACTTTTCTACCTTTCTGTTACCTTCATAAGGAATAAGTTAAATATTTTGTGTTTTGAACTGCTTTTAATTACCAGTGAAAAGGTACTTCTGCTACTGCCTTGAAAAGGATAAAGGTGTTTGTGATGAAACTAAACAAATGTTAGACCGTAAATTAACTTTTCCCCCAAAGGAAAAAAAGTCCCTACTGCTTTTACATCACATTTGCCAGCTTAGCCCAATTACTTTAGAATACATCAAATAATGTCACATGGACCCTCTGGATTACAAGGCCAGGTCTTCTAGGAAAGGTAATTTTTATCGTAGCATTATATTCGTATTATACTAGAGTATTCCCTTACACTTCTTGATCTTGCTGTTCTGCCTTTCCTCCCCTATTTCTTCTTTTTAAGAACAAGAGGAAAAAAAATCGGTAAAATCTATTTGGAAGTACAGGTTTACAGCTTCAATTGCTGAAGAATTCAAAAGCCATAATTAACATGTATTTGCCTTCAGGCCAGTTGTCTTTTGAAGTTGGCTATCTGACAGATTGTCGAATGAATATTTATTGCTGTCAGATGAGAACACTTAAAAATCTTGTTCATTTCAGGATATCACAGGAGGTTTTGATGTAACTAGAGATGACGAACAGGATTATTTATGTACTGTAAATGCTATCAAGAATTTGAGCTGCTATGTAGAGCTGAACAATAATATATCAAAGAATTTGAGTCTGGAAGAGTGAAATGTATGCTGTCCAGCTAAAGTGGTTTACAATACCATCACTAAATAATGGGTAGCATGTCATTAGCCCGATCCCATTTCCTTGGAGGGGAAGTGAGTAAAGCAACCAAAATACATTTTGATTATGCCAGCTAGATGGATTTTCTTTTTTAGTAGCTTTTGAAATAACATATTTTGGTTTGTGATTATTATGCTAAATACTTCAATATCCATGATAACTAAAGAAATTTAATTTGAGATGGTTGGAAAAATTACTATCAACTATAATTTTTCTTTGGAAACCCAAGTATTTGGAGGGATAGGTTTGCTTTTGTTCTAAGTTGTGTAACTTCTGGTGAAAGAAATGTATGGGTTTTGTTTGTTTTTTAAAGGAGCTGCACCTGTTCTCCTGATCCAGTCTGAGTCAGTGCAACATAAATTTTAAGGCTTTCACAGCATTGTGCTGTTTTGTGTGGACCCTTTGTCCCACAGGGGTGTCACAAAGTTCACCATGTTCCAGCCCTCACAAAAGGTGCATTCTCTGACCTTCCATTCTCCTGGATGCATATATCCAGTTTTACATGAAATGACAGAGAAGCAAAAATGCCATCAATCCCCGAATGCAGAGGGAAACAAAACTTCAGTGCACTGCTAATGCAGCTTGTCTGTAATTTGTTCTTGTATTAGCTACGTTTGATGTGTTAGGAACAATGTTTAATACGTTAATGATGACCATTCAGGTACCGTAGAAGCGTAGTCACCTTTACTGAAATGAAATTGATTGCCTGACTTGATTCCCTTTATATTTATCCGTACTTTCTATCATGCTTCATATGTAAACCTTAATTTTTGTTTCCTACTAGACTGATAGGGAATAGCTGCTATTGAGATCTTAGCTGTGCATCTGAGACCAACAGATCTTAGAAGTCTGGTTTGTAGGGCTGTGTTTCTTTTGTTCCATCCTTGAAGCATTTGAAAGTAGCTTTTACTTAGCAATCTGAGACTTATTTATGGGTTTAAAAGTGAATGTATATATAATTGCATATAATATCTGGGATATGACTGACTTAAAAAGAAAAATCTGAACTGTGAAAAATGTAGATATCATCCTATATGGCAGCTGGCAAATATGATAATGTGGAAAATCTAGGAATTTACTGGATATTTCTTTGTTCTTTTAAAACAATAGTTTCCCTACTTCGGATTGTAATTAAAAATTAGCTGTACAGGGGGCCTTAATCTATGAAACAGATTTCTGAAATGTTTTGAAGTCTGAAAAACATTTCAGTAATTACAGAACTCATTTAAGGAACAAGCATTTAAGGGACAAGTTCCATTACAGACCTCATTTAAGGAACATTTACTGGAAATCGCTTTGACAAAGCTTTCATGGATTTAAAATGGCATTTCTTTTTTTAAAGCACAAGACACAACACTGACAAAAAAACAGGTATACAAAATCAAGCCTTTTGGTGTATACTTAATACGTATCTTCTTGCCTATGGTCATACACAACATGAGTTAATACTATTACCTTTGCTGTGACTTTTCTGACTCTGTTACTGAGTTTAATCATGTTTGTTATTTCTACTTTGTATGTATTAGGAAAGAGGGTGTAGTGGGTTTTGGGTGGTTGGTTTTGCTGTGGGTTTAGTTTTGGCTTTGTTTTTTTCTTTTTGCTAAGCTTCTGAAGTACTCGTTCATTTCTGTTTTATAAAATTTTGTAATTGGAGGGGGCATACGAACCTACTTAAATGAAGTGTCTGCTTGTTGGACAGATTGGAGAAGCTAGTTCTCGGGAGGGTTATCTGATATAAGTATTGGGGAAAAAAAGCTTTCAAGAGTTTAATTTACATGAAGAGAGATACAAGACAGTTTTAAATCCAGCAAAAATTATTAACAACGGATTACCAGCATCTGTAATGCTTTGACAAGCTTTAAGGGGGCACATACCAACCAGCTATAAATTATCCACCTGGTTGAGGGAAGATGAAGACAGTTGATGACACCATCTGTAAATAGGGATTTTGCATATATTCAGAGGAAGCAATTTGATTACCCGATGCAAAGCATATTTTATTTTGGGATAGAGAAAAGAGCTTATTTAGATGTCAAGCTGCTCTCTAGTGGTTGTATATGTAAACTGTAGGAGAGGATGCAGCCAATTCTGCCCCACCCCCACCCTCATAAATTTAGTGCTGGTGAGTTTTTAAGAATAGTAATATTTTTTTCTTTTTGAGTATGACTTGCCAATTTGCTACCAAATATGTCACAGTAACCCTTTTAAAGTAATCTTGTTAAAAGTTTTCATTTACGAATTTAAACTAAAATATTGCCTGTGCCAGGAACACCAATGTCACACACATTTTAAGTGTGGTAGAGGAATTTCTCATCTGTAAATTGCATTAATAAACATCTGCAACAGTTATCTGTAAATATCTGGTTTATTTCTATGTGCTGAGTAGGCAGAAACAGTTACTGAGTCTGACTTTGTCCTTTCCTCACATACGTATATTTTCTTTTTTTGTTGTGGATCTCTTGGGAGTTCATCAGGTGCGTGTTTGCTTTCAATTCTAATTTCATCTGGAATTCTGTCCTCTGTTTTTTATTTACTTTATCTACTGTTTATCTGAAATGGCGGAACTTTCAGAGGAGAAGTCATAAAGTTTGATTCTTCCTTTCCAATTCAGAAATTGGAGTAGGTGGTTTTATTCTCAGAGTTACTAGTGCACATTGCCTTATTAAAAGAAAAATGTCCCAAGTGTTTCAGCATTGATATAGAATTGCAGTTTTAATCAAGGTTCTAAAGTTTTTAATGAATTCATTTTTTACACTACATACGTAACATGAAAAAATATTTAAATTGATGTGGCCTCAGATTTTCTCCAAGCTAAGTTTGCTTCTATGTGTCAAAGAAAGTAACTTCAGTGAGTCTGTGCACGCATAAAATTAAGTGCTTAAGTGTTAATACGATCATACCCTGAAGAATATTTTGACACTGATATCTATTCAGTAGTTGTTAGTTTAAAAATCTTGATTTTAGTTTTATTCTTTTTCTCCATTTTGAAATGACTACTGAACCATCAATGTGTTACAATGGTATTTTGTGGAGTTCAGAAGTCAATACATCACACCTTAAGAAGAATAAAATTCTTGTGCATTTGGAATGTAAATGATAAATTTTCTAACTCTGCAAGTGTTTTCTGATAGTAGAATTTAAATTATATGTAATTTTCTATATGTAACTCTTCAATAGGAATGCTGTCACTTACTGAAGATACATTTTTTGCAGGGTCAGAGACCTGAATTCATGCCTTTTTTTCCCCTCTTGTGACTGAAGAATAGTTTTGTATAAGTTCTTCAGGATAAACTGGTATCTTGCTAGAATTCTATCAGATTTCAAACAAAGCTTTTTTCTTTTTTTTTTCTTTTTTTTTTTTTTTTTTCTTTTTAACTTGGGTGCTTTTATTCTAAAAGGCTTAAAGTGTTAAATTTAGGCATTTCAAGTGTTCCAGAATAGTTTGAGCAAACTTTTTCTCAAGAATCTTAGAAAAAGTCAAGGTGAAAATGGACAGTGAAGAAATTTATAGACATTTGGTATAGTCTTAAAAGATAACTTACATCCACATTTAGATGGCAATTGAGTTTTTTCTTGCACCTAAATAAATGCATTAAAGCACTTCAATCACAAAAAACACCCTTTTGAAATCTGAAATAGTTAATTCTCATGTAAGATGCAAAATGGGAAATATGTTCTGACTCTTAGCATTCCAAAAGAATGTAAGCCAGCCCCAAAACTGTGCTACCAGCTGCCTGCATCTAAACTGATTCCATTAGAGGCTGATTTTGACTACAAATCCTGATTTCCATGCTGATGTGGCTTTGTACATAGCCATTTTTTCTTGTTGTATTGCAGCTTTTAATGCATTCTTCATGGTTGAAAAACTGATTTCTAGAAAACTTAGCTTTGACAAAAATGTAGTGGACCATGGCATGTATATTGGTCAGTGTGGATCAGTTTAGAGTAATTGAAATGAGGTTTCTCAAGCCTCAAACATTTGAATTATAATTTTTTAGGCCATTACGTCCTAAGAAACGGTAGCAAATCAGGTGGAGAATGAAGTTGGTACTTGGAATTAACATTAATATTTAATTTGATGTTTAGACCATATGTTTATCCCATATTTAATTTTTAACAATTTGGAATAAGAATCAGGAGGTTTAATGGCATCTGCATATTCAGATTTCTTAAAGTGTTTTCTGTGATGCAGCTGACTTCAGGAATCTCACTAGGAAATATACAACCTTCATGATGCTCATATTGAGAAGCAAAATTAAGAGGAATGCTGTTCACACTCCAAATGCCTCAGTTTCTATATTCCCAGCTGAAAATAGGTAGAGGAAAAATACTTCCTAGATTCGTCACTCTCTTGTGTTAAACTAAAACTTTCTTACAACTCCGTGCAATTTTAAATATTATTTGTCCTGTTCAGTTTCTACTTGTGGGTTCCTTCTAATTTAGTGTTGAGATGCTGTGCTCAATGTAGAGGAGAAAAATGTTTGCAGTATTTCTCATGTTTTCCCTTCATCAATTGCACAATCATTTTTGTACTTTGGAGAAAGTATCTACCAAGATTTTTATAAACTCTTGAATAAAACTGCTCTCAGGCTGTGTAAGTACCTTGAAGCTCAGTAAACTGAGCTGACTGAAATCTTAATTCCTGATGGACAAGTTCATGCCTCTAGAAATTTTAGGAAAGTTCTACCTCCAATTGCAGATCTATCTTGGATTGTAAATACCAATCTGGATTTAGGTTGTCACCATTTATTGACCATCTGTTTGGGTCCTTCTAAGAGAACAATGAATCTAGTGGATCTGTGGATCTTTATAGTAAGATAGTGCTACAGACACTTTGAGAAGATAACTTTCTAGTCTCATCATGCATTTCTTCTATGTTTATCTCTCTTTATGCCACTTCCAGAAGATGGACAGATGTAGGAGCTTCTGAGAGGAGGAGCCTTCCTGTAAGGAGGTGTCAGGGAGTTAACTATACAAATGGGGGAAGAAGGCACCTGGCTTACTATAGAGACTGTTTGATAAGAGTTGTAAGACAATGCTTTGAGGGGCTAAGGAGCTAAGAAAAACTGGCTTTGGCAGTTTCATATCTGGGTGTTTGGTCTGAAATTCAGAGGAACAGTTAAGGTCAGACTGAATGATTAGTAAAGTGACACTTGAATGCTAAGTGCTTTCCCAAGAAGGGGAAGGCCTCTGGAAACTTGTCTGGAAGCTTGAAAAAAAATCCATTGATGAGAGAACACAGTAGGTGTAAATTGGAGTATGAAGAAAGCTCACTATGCCATTGAGAGGTTATCCAAGCACCTTGGCAAAGGAAAGGCCATTATTGTCAGTAAATACTGTTCTTTTCCAAGGGAGTTTCCAATGACTGTGCTACCAGAGCATCTGGGGAATATGAATACACAGAGGCATATGACTTTGACTATTAAACTGGTTTTAGTTTCACAAGATAAATGTAGTTTGAAAGATCAAATGTCTGCCTGAGGACTAGTGACTATCTTGAAAGTTAGATTAATATATGTAGTCAACAGACAAACATCAAAATGTAAGAGTTGTTGCAGTATCTTAGTCAAATGATATGTATGTATTTTGAACTTCTTTTTTTAACTAAGAAAAATTAGAAACCTAAGAAAAAATACACCTTTGAATTTGCTGTGTTTTGGTGCTTTGTGGTTTATCTTTTACTATGATCATATTTTTTCATGGGTCTTTGCCACTTTTTCAAGATAGGTTTGCTTCATTTGTCAGGTGAAACACGGAGGATTTTCCTTTTCTTTTGCGCTGTCTCTTTGTTTTGTTCTTACAACTACGAAAGCCTGTGGTAGAAAGATAGTAATGTCTACTGCTTTCTTTCTATTACCCTTGCCAATATTGCAGAGGTCAGGTTTGCAAGGTAATGAAGAAACCACTATCACTTCTGTCCTTGAGCTCTTGTTACCTGTTTGATTGCCTACAGTGGCGCAGGGGTGGACTCCAAGGTTTCTTTTGAGCCTCTTTTTCTTTAAATGAGGCTCATTCATATTCTTGAATGAAGTGTTATTGGATTCATTGCAGACATTGACAGCATTGCAATAGCAAGAAAACCCAGTCAGTCAAATCTGTCTCTGTGTAAATTCTTATTTGTACTGTACCAGAAAAATGAGACATGGTAATAACTGGTAATTAAATGGTTTTCCACAGTTGTTTATCTTGACTGCCAGCTTTTCTTCCTACAACATGTTGCAAATTTAATGACAACCTAGAAATTTTGATAAGCTGTGCATATCTGTTGTTTTTCCAGACACATGAAAATTTGAATGACTTTATTTACATGTAATTCTGCATGTTAACTGATGGTTGCATGCTGACTTACAGTAAATAAAGATAAATAGGGGTCACTGAGTTATGTTTTATACATCACAGTGGTACTGTTCTTGCATGGTTTTTATCTTGCATGACAATGGAATATGTTTGTATTAGTCTATGTATAACATGTCTTGTGGTTTATGCATGCTGCACTAATCACTGTGTTAAATCTGTCCCCTCTTTATTCAGAGCATGCTGTCTAGGTCCTTTAATTCCAATTATGCTGCAGTTAGCAGCTTTCACTATGGCAGCTCTAGGGATCTGCATGGCAGCCAGGGTAGTGTTGCCTTGAGTGTTGCAGACGGAAGAGGTTCTGGTGTGCACATTGTTCGAGTGAGTACCTACAGGAGGCTATTGCAATATATAAATGGGGAAAGAATAAACTACGAGAGGTGTCCTTAAATTGATAAAATTATCATTTTACGTATGGACAATGCTTTCAGTAAAAGGAATATAAGTTACGTGCTGGAATTTTTTTATAGGCATTAAGTCAGATACTTTGCCTTTACTTCATATTTGTTAAACTTATTGCAAGGCTTTTCAATTCAATGTCATGAAATTGAGTTTTCTAATTGGCTTTTATAGATGGTTAAACATACGTAAAACTGTTTGGTTTCATTGTACCTATGTGAACAAGAGATTATAATTCTGAATTTAACCTAGGTTGATAAAGGCTTGAGCAAAATCCTATTATGCTTTTTCCTCCCCCAAATTCTGATGATGTAAACTGTACTGTAAGATACTGTAGGCATTCAAGAAAATTAATATTTTAGTTTGTAAGAAAATAAGAGGAAATGACTCTAACTCCGAGCATCCTGAGTGATGTTATAGTATCCATAGTGAATAGGATAAAGTCAACAGAAAATTTCTTTTAAGGATATGAATTCCTGCATAGGCACTTCTTAGCTTTTGTTTGTTTTTCCTATCAGTTTATTGGTGATCAAAGGCACCTCTACAGTTGCTAATTTTTGTAAATATCCATCAATATTTTATGCGTGTGGTGTCTTGGCTAATAAGATCTTCTACATAAGCATGGTACTAAAGATAAATAACGATAAAGGCCTTAAAATGTTTTATTCTGGGCTTCTTATGAGATATTTTGTTTGTTTGTTTTAATTATATAAAGACAACCATTTTTACTGTTTCATTCTTTTTAAAGCATCCCCAGGCTTGTACTCCAGGAGACCAATGCCAGGATGAAGTATTCATTTCAGGACAGCAGAATTACTCATCTGCTACACTTAGTCTCAAAGATGTTCCTCCAGACAGCATGAAGAAAATAGCTGTGCAGGTAACGATGTACATGACACCATGGATAGCATATATTTATATATAGTTTTTTATTGGTAGTAGAAACATATGTTGGGATAGCAGCTGGAACTGGAGCTTCTTTAAAATGGGATACCCATGTAAAGGTGGCATAAATGAAATAGCATCCTCTTTTAGGAAGACAAAATAGTTAACTATATGAAGGGTTCTCATTTTCCTTCAGCCGTGGCTTTGAAAGGAGAAATTTGCAGCAAAAGGCATAATTGCAAGTAGAAATTGGAATATGGCAGATCATTTCAGGGTAGCAATCTGAAGCCAATTAAACCTTTTAAAGAACAAACCTGAAATCTGTTGTGATGAAATTATGATGATAAACTAGAATTTTTAGGAGACATTCTGTATTGATCTCTGAGGACCATCTATGGAGGCAGAACTTACTACTATGAAACTAAATGGATGCTTGTAAATTATTACAATGCAGCAATTGATTTCTCTTTTGTAACTTCAGTAATTTCAGTTGCATTTCTGCAGACATTGCGTAGGTGTTGCTTATGTAATCTCTACATCTGGCAGTGCAACAAAATAGTTTTCCTGTCATGCTTTACGTTTTCAGATAAGGCAGTAGAAAATCATGTAAAGATTCTAATATGTGTCCATTCACGTAATGTGGTTAAAGGCTGAAATTTGCATACTTCAGGTTTTATAATATTTACTGAGAGGAGGGAGAATATTTTAATATCCTTGTATCCTATAACTAATGGAATAATGGTGGCAGTCACAAAATATCTGTAACTCAAGCCTGTAGCATTTTTGGAGTGTGGGAGTCATAGAGACATGAGTGACTACTTAGGCTGGGTAAGAGCATAAGGCATATGGGCAAGGAGGGAAAAGGCTGTCCATCTCAGCATAGAGCTGCAGAGCTAAACAGTAACTCTGAGGCTTCAATAAGAAATGTTATCTCCAGCATGATTCCTAGTTGACATGGTTTGTCACTGAGTATGTCTTACCAGTTGTGTACCTTACTGCTGTCATAATTACACCTATCAAATCACTGACAGATGTATTAACAAAAGAATGATGTTTATTAGAAATATAATTACATTTTTGATACTAAGATCTTGAGCTTGTATGTGAATTTGCTCAAAAGGGTTTCTTGTGAAGTGGTCACCAAAACAAGATCAGAGAGCATATTATTTCTACCTGGGATTTTTATTCTGTATGATCTGCTGGGAATTGTTACAAAATCTGAGTTTTGTGCAGTAAAAGTGCAAACTATAATGGTATCAATTAAGTGTCAACACTGTCTGTTGCACTGCTAGAAAATAATGGCTGGGTAAGCTCGGTGAAAAAAGTGCTAAAAGCAAAGACTGTCTAGTCTGTTCTAGTAGATTAGCACTCTAAGCTTTTGATTTTCAGATTTGCTCTCAGGAGGTCAGAGCTGATGACTATAAAGAAAATTGAGTATAATAGTACATGATCCAGAACAGTTTTAGTCATGTTCCTTAAATTAAAAGCAGTCAAGTATGAGAAGTAGTGAAGTAATAAGGGAGGAAATGAGGATTGCTACTTATAAAATGTGTGACATTGAGCATTCATGTTTTATGCAGGTACCTTTGACAAATGGACAAATGTGCCAGCCTCAGAGATCTCAGGCAAACTATAGCCAACTCCATCATCTCCCTCCTCAATCATCAGTAGCAAGACATCCATCTAGAGAGCAGTTGATTGATTATCTGATGTTGAAAGTTGCCCACCAACCTCCCTATTCCCAGTCCCAATGTTCTCCCAGACAAAGCCATGAGTTGGCAAAGCAAGAGGTAAGAGTAAAATCTAACTTGACGATATGGCATCTCCGTGTCAGTGGCAGTGAATTGTTAGATTGTTTTTGTTTATTACCATTTCTCTCTAGATGGTCACAGATACCATACAGGCATTTATCTCCAGCAGAAGACAGCATTTTATGTCAGTGCAATTCTACTGCTGAAATCATACATTCCTACTAGTTTTGAGCTCTTTCTACTTTTTATGTAAATGTCTTGAGAGAAGTGTAATAGATTTTTTTAAGAGAATATACCAGAAACTTAAACTTGCATCTTTTTACTGAGCTAGAAATTAATTTCTCAACTACATTTATTGATCACCAACTCATTATTTATCTAGGAACTGAGAAAATTCAAAATAGCAGTTCAATTTAGAGTACTTTGCATCTATTCATTCTATCCAGAAAGGTTCAAAAACCTGTGTATGTAGGAATGTGCCTCTATAAAAAATAGCCAGGGTAAGAAAACTGTGAGCATCTGATGCATGCCTGATAATTACCACTTTTATTTATCATAAACAGATGCGGGTAATAAATTCTTACACAATTTAACATCTCTTTCATTGCAGTCAACCTTCTTTCTGTTCTTGGATGCAAGATGTTTCCTCTGTATTGTTTTGGGTTTTTGAGGAAAATACTGAAAACTATGTTTTCATTCTGGTCTAGAATGAGAATGTGCACTACTCGTGTAGAGTGTTTTCTAGTCAACTATTCTGGCAACAGAAAGGGGAGACAATATTGGCTACATAGAACTTAGAGTGAAAGTGGGAATGAGGTTTGATTTTTTAAAATTCAGCTAAAGGTAGCAATGAAATAAAAGGAACAGGTTCTTTCACAGGAATGTGTATTTGCTGGGGCATTAAATTCATTTACATAATATCAAAAATATCTCTGAATTTAAAGCCCACATGAACTATGATTATAATAATAGAGATATTGGAGTAAAGCTTATGTACAATGGTACGTAGAATCATAGAATGGTTTGGGTTGGAAAGGACCTTAAGATCATCTAGTTCCAATTCTGAATTAATATTATGAGATACAATATTTTCTTGAACTGTGATAAATGCTTTTTCCTAATTTTTTTTTTAAACTTTTGTTCACCTGAATTCCTTAGTAATAATTTCATTACAGTAGCTTTGAATGCAGATTTTCAGCCAGTTAGCATCTAACTTTGGTCGTAACTACTTAGATTCGAGTGAGAATTGACAAGGACCCAGAACTTGGATTTAGCATATCCGGAGGAGTTGGTGGAAGAGGGAATCCATTCAGACCTGAAGATGATGTGAGTATTTTATACTAATGCATCTTAAAATCATTCTGATTAATAACAATATTTCTAGTGTTTAGCAATCGGCGGGGGAGAAAAAGTATATATTACCCAAACCACTGAATTCCAGGACTGGAAGGGAGAAAACTGGGGACAAATGATATGGAAAATCAAGGTGGTAGGTGACTAAAATGGTCGCATGTCAACATAGAAGTTTATTCTAGCTGAGTGGTTCTTACACAGTTCCAGATATCAGTCAACAGATTTGACATACTGAATTATGGAGTTTACAATTAGGAAGCCTCTTAAAATAGAACATGATTTAGCCTACAGCCTTACTTCTGGTGGTTGGTAATTCATCTTGACGTATACATCTGCCAAATTAAACAAAGGCAGATCAGAATTTGCCCTTCTGTACTCCTTTAAAGACAATTCTCCTGGATTTAACATCAGAAAAGGAAAGCTGTCACAAAATCAAATAGACCTGTAGAATAGTGTTTTATTCTCTTAGGATGGAAGATGGAAAAGATGTTTATAATTACATCTGTTTCATGCTACCCTACTATTCATGAAATAAGTTGTCAAAAGTGTTTTTCACCTCTGTTTTTACCTCTGTTTTTCAAGGGTATATTTGTAACCAGAGTACAACCAGAAGGACCAGCATCTAAGCTGTTGCAGCCTGGAGATAAAATAATTCAGGTACTGTAGTCATTAAATCAACTAGCCTATGTAATATACCAATTGATTTTTTGTTTACATCTTTTCGAAGAGCAGAATGATCAATTTTCAGATAGATTACCAGTATCTTTTCCAGAAGCATTCTTACATTCTGGGGTGATGCTCTTAATTTTATCCCACCTAACATTAGGATAGGTGAAACAGGCTGAAACATTCATCAGTTGGATCATTTTTTTTTAAACTCTGAACATTTTTCACCCTTTTAAAGACAGAAAACTGGCCTAATGCTGCTCTTCAAGATGGAATGTGGGCATTTCATTAGGTTTTACTATTATTCAGTTATTTAACTTGTGGTCATTCACATCCAACATTCTGAATAATGTGTTGTCTGAACACCAGCATATTAGGACATTCTGTACCAATGATGATTTGGAAGGGTTATTGCCACTTTTGTCGTCTGAACAGTCAATATGTAAAATCTTTATGAGCAGCCCTAGGCAGATAATAAAAACCACTGCCTTGACAACAGCGCATTCAGCTGGTAGCAACAGCAAGTGATAGTGATGGGATAAGGAACTGCAGCTCCAAAATCACACAGTTAAGGTGCAGAGCACGCGATCAGCTCCCTCTGTTACCACGTGAGGGGCAGTAGCTCAGGGAGAAAGGTTGAATGCATAGCTGGAAGCAGTAACAGTTTGAACTGTACAAGTCTGTCGTTCTGCAAGATTTTGCCATCCAGACTGAACGTGAATTTGTAGTAGTACAACCTGAGAAGTTGAACCATAGCCATGTTTTCCCTCTTTTTTGTAGGCAACTTCGGTGGGCCTGTGTTTGCCAAGCCAAACCTGTCCCGGGAATGACAATGTTGTTTCGGGTCATAGGAATATTCAAGCTGGGGGTGACTCAGAAGGTCTCACACCCTAAAATGGCTCCCAGTGCCATTAATGTTTTTTTTGTTAAGGGCTTCAACAGTTTTAATTTATCTAATGCCATTTCTAATACTCTGATATTTAAACTAGGATGTATAATTTGTACTGCATTTGCTTTTTTTGGTGTGGCTGTATTAAGACTGATGTGTTTTCTCTTTTGGTTATTTGAAATACCTTTGGGGCAAAATTCTTCAAAAGCTAACATGGGATTTTAATTTCTTGTACCATACAGGTACATGTTCAACTCACATCGGTAACATAATCTGCAAAGATGCAGTGTTTTGTTGTCTGCATTACCATAGAATTTGGTTATTTTAAACCTTAAATAAACTAACATGAAATATGACATGTTTCACTAACATGACATAAGAGACTGTCACTTTTAATTTTAAATATTTCTTTTTAGGCCAATGGATACAGCTTCATCAATATCGATCATGGACAAGCAGTATCTTTGCTAAAGACTTTTCAGAATGCAGTGGAACTCATCATTGTGCGAGAAGTTTCTGTATAAGTACTGTGGATGTGGGGGAAAAGCCAGCAGAATACATTGAAGGACTTACGAGAAACTGAGTATTTTGCCTATTTTTATACATGAAAGGAGCTCAAAAAGAATTACGATCAAAATTTGTACAGGAAATACCGAACTTGTGGTTAAGGGAGGGCATACCACTGTATGGAACATACAGGAAATCATTTTGGAAATGCATATGGTGATTAAACTTGTTTTTAAGCATTATAGCAATCTAAGGATCACTCCTCCAAGAACAAACCTGTGTTGTTTTTTTGTACAGATGGTAGGTTTATTTTTGGATAATTCATACACATTACTAAACTTTGTGCAAGGCTTTATGAAGCCTCTGTTGTAGCCAATGGACAGATGGCAGGGCTGTCTGTCCTGTAGCTGTTTATTGCCTTTATTTTTATTTACTAGATATTAATGTGTTATGCTGAAACCACTTATTTAGGTATGAAATGGGGATATAAAATGTTGGCTTTGCTATGTGCACATTGTATGGATGAATGGGTAGATGGAAGGTGGTGCTGGTTGGAGAGAATAAAGGTCAGGTGAAACAACTATCTATCTGCTATCTAAATCTGGCATCAGGAAAGATGATAATGTGTTTTAGCTCTGGAGTGTACGTCTACCAATAGAAAATGCAATAAAAGCTTAAGGTGTTTTCTAGGAAGACTGTAACTACAAACTTGTATTTTACAGGATTTGTTCTTAATGTAGTTGTTGAATATTCATTTGCCACGTGATTCATGTTTAGTTGGGTTTTCTTGCATACATAATTTTTTCAACTGTACTGTGGAAATGAGCCCAGCGGTTTTTCTCTGCTGTGGAAATCCCAATTTTGTGCAAATAGTGATATTTTTATCTTGGTAAAAAGTACTCCATTTTAAACTTACCAATTTTAAAAATGAAACTGAAATGGCCAGTTTTTAAGGTTGTTGCCTGTAATATATATTTAAAACCACACAAAGTAAATGATGCAGGAAAGGTTATGAAAGACATCTCAATTTTGTTTGGCCTTTGCATTGCCTTGTTAATCAAAAAAGGAAACTATACGCATGGAGCTAGGTAACCAAAGCAAGTTTGTGAAACTTTGAACAGTGATGGAGAATTGCTGTGGTGAGATGGAGAGCAGAGGGAGGGTGTACTTACAACCAACCAGTTAGTAATGATGTTTCTTAAAGGGCTGTTCATACAGGTAACATTAAATGTGAACTAGACACTTCAGAGTCATTAAAGGGTTTCTAACTATATTAATGTAATAGTGATTTACCACAGGCTGCCTTTGTTCCTTATTACTGTATAAAATATTCAATTATGCTTCTATTAATTTTGTTTACCAGAAACATTAACTTTATTTTTCTCTTTCTCCTTTGTAATTGAATAGAGACTGCATAATGTGCAGTGATAATTAATACACGGTTGTTATGGACCAGGGAAAAGTGCCATAGAAGACCAATAACTGTTTTTAATCAGGGCTAATGATCAGCCTGCCATTGGAGCAATATTCAGTTATTGCAGTTCATTTTTAATTACATATAAGTTGGTAGTTTGAGACAAGTATAAACTGATTTTTTTCAGCCCATGTGTACAAAAGTAAATGCTTTTAATACAGCTAGCAAAAACACCAGCCTCTACAATGAGCTGGAAGAGAGGGGGATTTTACATAGCTAGCGGTAATAAACAGGCAGTACTTTTTAAATAAGCGAACTCAATATTATTGCACTTCTTTCAAAGATGTTAACTATTGCTTATTGTACTGTGTATAGTTCTAATAATTTTAATTGAAACCCTTTAACAACTCTTTGTATATTTTAATTCTTTTTAGTTGATTTTCAGTAATATTTACATAGAAAAATGATTTTTTTGATATATTAGCAGAAATGTGCTGTATTTTGATAAAATTCACTTATTTTCTGTGTGCTGTTAACCTTCAAAGAAAAGAATGAGAAACATAGCTATATAATGGCAGGCCTCAGTGTTCCCCTTCTAAGATGTCTTTTGTTGTTGTTTAGTTTCTATTTTTTTATTGAAAATGCAAAATATTCCCATCACATGTTCATTACTTTTAATCATGTTATTTTTACCACACACTACCTTTTAAAGGGAATGCATACAGACAAGTCCTAAATTACCTTGGTCTTCTTCATAACCTGTATCTTTGAGAAGGGAAAAGTCCAAAAAGCAGAACTGATTCTTTACTGATCTTGGACTGACTTTGTATACATTTTGCAGTACATTTAAATATATCACTGAGGAATTATACTGTATTGTATTTTGCTTTAATGGTAACAGAAGTTTTAAATGTTGTTGTGTCACTTAATTTTCAGATTTATGTATCACAAGAAAATTCTACCAAAAATTGTTTGGCTGTGGTAGAACTATAGAAGTAGAGATTTATAGCAGGAAGTTTAGTACTTCTTGTGGAAATACTTGGCCAAAGCTTGTCTTCAGTAAATTAGCAAATTAAGCATCTAATAAAACCTGGATTATGCTGATTTTACTCAGTAAATGTTGGAGTTTTCAGTGGATTGAAATGTGTTTGTTCCTTGAGTGTCTGTGTGTGAACACATGTCAAACTAGGTGATTTTGCAGAGAGTGGGAGAGAGGTGTCTCCTGAGCTAGTCCAGCCAGGATTCAACAGGAGGAGAGACAGTATCATCACTTGTCATTTTGAATACATCTTAAACTACATTTTGAATAGAATAAAATCCATCAGCAGCCTAAGTTACTCAGCATGGCAGTGAGTTGAGGCAAACTACTCATTCTTTCTATTCTTAATATAGTTCATTAAAGAATCAGTTCAACTGATATTATGAAAAGATGAAGTCTCCCACATATTTATTATGTAAATACTTTTTTAGTTTCTGTTTTGGACTGGACTTAAAAAGCGTGTATATAGTTGAAAGCATTCTATGAACATGAACATAGCAATAAGCAACACACAGAATCAAACCTTTATGATTATTTGGGTTTTGCTTAGAAATACTCCCTTACCAACACCTATGAAATGTTTTTATTGATCAGCATTTATTCAACATTCCAAATTTTTGTACATCATTAGACTGTTTCTGAGGTAACACATGGAGAATAGATAATAAACTAATGCTCTTTAAAGCTGTGCGTAATTTGACTTATTCAAGCTCTCAGAAATTCTCCATAACGCTATTTAAGTCTTATGTAGTTTCTGCAGGCCTCAGTACTTTGTGAATATACAGAGACAGTTACTTATGTCTCTGGTTCTGTGCATCTCAGCAGTCTGTCTGCTCTAGGTGTTTTCATTGCAAGACTGGGTTACGTAAAATGGTCTGTGAATTACCCAGTCTTGCAGTGAAATCAGCTGGGGCAGCCAGTGGCTTTTCTCTCCTAAAGAGATGAACGGTCTTCACCTGGTGCAAACTAAGTAGTTTCAATAGAGAGAGTAGTTCCAATAGCAGAGAGGGGTGACTATGTCAAGGAGCAGGGTTAAAATGAGAGTACTCTGATGAGATGCACAAGGGTTACGCGGTAAAGTGAAGAGCTAGGCGCAGAATTTCACAGGAGAGGTAAATGCAGGTTTACATCCAGATTTCTTGGAAACCACCTGACAATGTAGTAACAAAAACGTTTTAGTCTTTTTTACCTTGCGTATGTGTATCTGGTGTATCAGTATCATTACCCACGTGAGTTCCTACTTCCTCTGCACAGAAAACTGATTCTAACAACAACAGGTTAGAGGCTCTCTTTGAAGACCTTTTTGTTTTCTTTTGTGCTTCAAACTTTGAATTTATTCTCTTCCCCATTTCGCAGGTATTATTTGTTAGTTAAGCCTCATTCCTGTGTAGTTGGTCTCCTACTTTGGTTTGTTACTCAACAGTTTACTTTCTAATCAAGCACCTGTGAATGCTGGGTCCAACATGTGCTTTGCTGACTGGAGGCACTTTTTCAGAGAGGAAGCGCGTTTTTGGTGTGTTATTTCTGTTAACATGCATTAAATTCAGCTTTGGAATGTGTCCAGAAGATTCTGTTGCATCATCTACCTTGAAATTTGGTTTCACTACACCAAAAGTTACATTACTGTAAGATTGCCCCTGCCTGAAAGAGTTGTTATTACATGAAAAACTGAAGTAGCCGAAGTAAAAGTGAACATTCCTGTTTAAGAACATACAGTGGCCATCTGAAATCAACAGGGAAAAAACCTAAGACCTAGTGCTTGTCAGTTCAATGCCTTGTTCAGGCAATGTGCTAGCTGTGGTCCTGCAGCACTGATAAATTCTTGGCTGAAGTATAAAAAGCTGGCTAGAAGTTGATTATTTGCTAGTGTCTGAATTTATGTTGGCCAGTTTTGTGTGATTATATGATTTCTCACAGTCTGTGTAATTGGAGCCATATTTTGTCAAGATCAAGGACACCATTTCAGTAACTTTTCCTTATGGCATTGATTTAACCCCAGTGAGCAACTTAAGTCCCACCCAGCTGCTCACTCACTGCCCTGCCCAGGTAGGATGGGGGAAGAGAATTGGAAGGGTAATAGGGAGAGAATTTGTGAGCTGAAATAAAGACAGTTCAACAGGTAAAGCAAAAGCAACTCATGCAAGCAAAGCAAAACAAGGAATTCATTCACCCCTGCCCATCAACAGGTGGGTGTGCAGCCTCCTCCAGGAGAGCAGGACTCCATCATGTGTGATGGTTACTTGGGAAGACGAACACCATCACTCTGAGCGTCCTCCATTCAAATCTTCTTCCCCCAGCTTTATGTGCTGAGCATGATGCCATATGGTGTGGGATATCCCTGTGGGCAGTTGGGGTCAGCTGTCCCAGCTGTGTCCCTTTACAGCTTCTTGTGCATCCCCAGCCTGCTCACTGGTGGGGTGGTGTCAGAAGCAGAAAGGCCTTGGCTCTGTGTAAGCTGCTCAGCAACAGTGGAAATATCCCTGCATTGTCCACACTGTTTCCAGCACAAATCCAAAATGTAGCCTTTTAACAACTACTAAGAAGAAAAAATAACTCTCCCAGCCAAAACCACCAGA